TTTTTACTGATAAACATAACATATCTGAAGAATAAAGACTTGAAAATATACGCCAGACTTTAGTTTGTGTTTCGAATGCCAGACAGGTTTTGTGATGATGATTGTTCGTAGAAAAGTCATTAGTAACAAAACTTGCTGTAAATCTTATCTAAAATTTTCAGACAGTTCTCCAAAGATACATTATACATATAAATTAGTTGACTTTTTGTGTCGTGGGTTCCAGCAAGAAAATTTATCGCGTTTTTAATAGTACTGTACATATTTAATGACTGTTCATTCATCTTTTTTTTTCCATGCATATATCTTTAATTATTGCAAGTCAACACAATAATAATATTTTTTTAAAATAAATAAATAAATAAATTTAGTTTTAATTTTAGTTTTGAATTTTTATTATAAATAAATAAATAAACAAAAAAGAAAAAAAAATAATACTTAGGACATACCAAAAGTAGTGAGAGTGACAATTTTTTATCCTAAAGTAGGCTTCAAGAAATTTTCTTTTTATATCGTCTGATAGAGAAAAAGAAGCTCTATCTTTCTATGCTATTTGATCATACTGAATTATTCATAAAACTTATTCTGGCACGTTATGTGCTAGTTGTAATCGATGATAATTTATGTTTCAACATGTTCTATCCCTTTTTTCTCTTTATTCTTCTTCTCTGTTTTTATTTCATGAAATGTTCGAAGTAGTCACCGTTGTTATCCACACACAACTGCATCCGTTGAATTCATTTATCGAATGTTTTTCTATATTCTTCTTTATTCAAAGAGTTCATGAAGTTGGACAGAGCACGATACAACGATTCTGAGTTGTTTTGATCGTTCAGATTTTCTTTAATGAGGTTCAATAACCAAAAATCACATAATGATAAATCAGGAGAATGAGGCGGGTGTGGAATTATTGTGATGCCTTCAGATTCGAGATAATTCGAGACCGCTTGATGAGTATGTGGTCGTCCGTTATCATGATGAAGTTTAATATCTTGAATACCACATGAAGGTCTTTGCTTCTTGATGCACACTAAAAAATAATGTGTCGCATGTGTCTCAAAGAGCACCTCATGTCGTGGTCAAAAATGTGTCGCACTTTTTATGTGTCGCATCTCTTGCGTTCTTCGATATATATCCAGCGCAGAACGCAACAGACGCGACACAATTTTGACCACGACACGAGGTTCTCTTTGCGACACATTATTTTTTAGTGTGTGTTGCTAATGAGTGGTTTTAAACAGTACTTAATGTAATATTGATGGTCGATAGTTTCTCCCGGTTCCACATAGTGAATTAAAACAGGACCAGTTGATTTAAAAAAGATGCTAAATAAGGTTTTTGGTGAAAAATAACCACGTCTAATCACTGTAGGTGGCGGATCACCTCTCGCAACCCACGCAGAATTTGATGATTTTCGACCAATCTGTGTATGGTAGAACCAGGACTCGTCACCTGTTACTACATCACATAGTCGCCATGCACCTGATTCGAATTTTGCTAAATTTTTCTTGCATATTCGAACTCATTCAGCTCGTTGAGAATCAGTGAGGTGTTTGGATATATAACGAGTGGTAATTTTTCTAAGATTGAGATGATCGGATTGTGATGGATCCTATCCGTCACTACTCTTCATGACCCTGATCGGGCTCATCGGTCATGTTCTAATGTTCTATTCATTAATCATTTGCTCTCGTTTTACACTCTGCTGAAATATACATACTGTGTTCATATATTATCGTTGATTCATTATTGAAATAAACTCAGAACGATTGAGTCGTTCCATCACACGTGGCGATCACACCAATTGGATGTTGGTTACTTTTTTTTCTCTTTACTTAAGCACATTTTTTCTTTAAACTTTTCATCTTGTTCTTTGTTTTTTTTGTCGTTTTACTATTATTAGTAGTCTCCTATTTTCCTATCTTACGTTAGCACGATTCCATTTTAACTATGACTGAGTCTGACGAGCAAAAATTACATGATTTTCTCGCTAGTCTCCAAGATGCACTACAACTTGAGGCAACACGCACAACTTCTATCGAAACCACGTTGACTACTGTACAGTCCACAGTAACTCAACTCGAACAGAATTTCAACGAGAAAGTAAATCATCTCTCCACGGCTCATGAGTTAAAATATCAGCAATTAGATGACACGATTCAACACCTAGATACCCAGTTTCAGGACTTTCGTATTTATGTTTCGACACAAATATCCGAATTAACAGCTGAAATTCGTGCAACACTTGCGGCCAAGGGGGAAAAAGCGCGACTCCATGTACTCCAAAAAAAAAGTTGGAGTACAATTGGAGTACCATTGGAGTACCATTGGAGTACCATTGGAGTACAATTGGAGTACGATTGGAGNTTAATCAAATACATCGCCAGTATATTTTATTTTCATGAGCACGTTCTTGAATGTAATCAAAACCGTTCTCAATCAGAACTGGCTTGTCTTTTCAGTTTCGGAAAATAAAATTGACATGATGTGTTCGTACTTTCAATGTGATCTATATGATAGTGAATTTTAAATGACTGTAAATGGATATCTTCTATTATTCTCACTCGTTTAAATACTTTCAAGGAAAATTGATCGACGTGCATGCACATTACCGTCCGTTCTCATAAGTGTCTTACACACAACTGTCTGTTCTCATAATTGTTTTTTTTTTATTATAAGCAGATATTTCCCTATGACCCTGACGGTCCTAAAGGGACAGTTTGGCTTGAAACATTGTGCATGCATTAAGCGTATCAGAAAAGGAAAAAAGAAAGAAAATTGAAAAAAGAAAAAAGAAAATTGTAATTTACCATGAGTAAAGCAACCTGATAATGGGATAGAAGAATGCAAAGGCTTGATATCCATAAGGATAAGCAGTAAAGAGTACAGAAAAAGTAAGATCAAAGAGAACATAAAAGAAAAGAAAAGAAAAGAAACTTCATCTCTGAGGCTGGTGTGAGAAAATTAGCACTCCAGTTAATTTGCAAGATATAAAACGAAAAGGAACAAAAAACAAAAAAAAACATTTTGCTGGCATCATGCATCACAATTCAAATTGATCTTTCTTAATTTTAACATTAGCTGAAAAGTATTCTCAGACCTAGACTAGCTAACATCTATAGGCTAGGACTCATGGTGCTTTCTCTCATCATTTGCATTATTTCGTGATAATGTTTATTATTTTCACTTGCTGTTTGTTGTAGTTGCTTTGCCAGCTCTTCAAATTTAATTTTATCTTCTGCGACACTTGCACTGATTGTCGCCAGGACAGCTGTCTTGTCTTGAGTTGCTCTACTAATGTACTTAACGAGTTTAGGTATCACGCATTTTGTTCCTATTCTTTCTACTAGTGCCACGAGGATAAGACAACAAATAAAGACCAGGACGAATTCCCGCCACGATTTGTGCGGGCGAGGAGCTCCGAAAACATGCTTCTCAATTTCTTTTGTTTTTTCAATAACTTCTTTAATATGACTTGAGTTCGCATAGTTGTTTACGATGAAGTTAAACTTATGTTCAAACTGTTTAATTTGATTGTTATGATTCACTATCGTATTAATAAGACCTTGATTTTTGTTGTCATTCTGTTGTTGATCAGTATTTTCAGCTTCCGTTTTTCCAGTCTGTTGTTGTTTTACTAACGCCAACATTAATTCTCTGTCTAGATACGTGTGACTTTCCTGACTTTTAGATTGGTCGCTTACCTCACTATTCATGATAGATGAGATACCACAAAGGGTGAAGACTATCCACGTGCATAAGATCATAGGCGATTGTTTTTAATATAGAGAGACCGTATATAATTGATATTTATAACGTACAGTGTTTGATTCGATTCAAGTGAGTTTCGTATCATGTTGAATATTATGTATGTTCGAGGAGATAGTTATTTTGTTATCACTTTCGTTTGTTTTTTGTATTCGGCTGTATTATTCTTTGCTTGTTCTGCTATCACATACCATCTCTCTCCTTCTTCTGTCATTTTTTGTCAGCATGACCTTTCACTGCTTTTGTTACTTTTGACCATAATATTGTTAAAACGTTTCTGGGAAGCAAGCGAAACAAAAAAGTTCGTCATCATTGTAATTGATAATCGAGTCCGCCGTTCCTTGAGCTGCTATCCATTCTATTGCTTGTCCTAATACATCCATATGTGCTACAAAACGCTTCGATTTGTGTAGACAGCGGATTGATTTTCCACCTTCTCGCCAGTTCGTCCTATGCCTGTTTAGTTCTGATTGTTCCAATAGGAGGAATCCATCTCTAGTCTTTGATAGTGTTTTTAAATATTTATCCCAGTACTTGTAGCAATAATCGTCGAGAGCTTTCTCTTTGTAAATTGATGCGAACAGAAGATCCTCCCAGTAGTGACACCAGTATGTTCTTTTTAGAAGGGTGAAATATAGATGGTTAAGATATGCTCTTTGAGAGTCCGTGAGTAACGGGAAAATTCCAAATAGCCATGTGAAGTGTGGTAGAACAAAGGTCATAAAAAGTACACGACGTAGGTGCATAGNCCAGTACTTGTAGCAATAATCGTCGAGAGCTTTCTCTTTGTAAATTGATGCGAACAGAAGATCCTCCCAGTAGTGACACCAGTATGTTCTTTTTAGAAGGGTGAAATATAGATGGTTAAGATATGCTCTTTGAGAGTCCGTGAGTAACGGGAAAATTCCAAATAGCCATGTGAAGTGTGGTAGAACAAAGGTCATAAAAAGTACACGACGTAGGTGCATAGAAGATATACCACTAAATCTGAATGAGTTTACCAGCGCTGTTTTCTGACGAACAGTTATTCGGATCTTTCCTAGCATATTTCCCCATCCAAGCTTCGTTGTAAGCCAATATCCAAGGTACTTGAACGACGAGATCCATTCTATCATGTGATCACCACAGTGGACTTGTGGAAACGGGTTCGGATATCTTACCGCCCGTGCTGAGAACATTGCTTGAGTTTTCATGTAATTGATTGGTTGTACAGATAAGATAGAATAAAATTCGAGCTACTCTAAGAACAATTGTAGCCGACGCTCCAGATCGATACATTGATCAGTAAATCGTACTCCTATTTGAGCAGCTAGTACTGCTACAAGATCATCTGCAAAAAAGAAAGACATGGCTCCAGGAATAAAATCCGCCATATCACTATGGTAAGTGATAAATAGTGACGGTGTCAAACTTGCACCTTGTGGACCACCACGTTTGATTTCTATCCAATGCGATCTTTTACCCTGCATCTCAATGCTTGCTTTACGACCACAGAGCCATGTTTGAATCCGTTTGACATACGCTTGTGGTACACCCAGTCGTAAGAGCTTTCCTATGTATCCTTCAAACCATAATTGATCGAATGCGGATTTAAAATCTGCAAAGACTGTTGCGACTGGAGAGCTATTTGCCATATAAGATGATATTTGTTCTATAAGTAGTAATACTCGAGTTTGTAGCCTATATCCAGCACGAAAGCCTGACTGATTATCCGGAAGGATACCTCTGTCTTTTAGAATTTGTAGAAATCGAGTGAGAAAAAGTCTTTCCTGTATCTTTAGGAATGAATCGAGTAGTGAAATTGGTCTGGTTTGGTCTGGAGTACACACAGCATTTTTCTTCGCCAATAGTACCATACGTACTTCCTTAAATTTCTTCGCCATAAGACATGTTGCAAATGAATAATTATAAAGTTGTACAAATAGATGCCAATAGTTTCTAGGAATTTTGTCTAATATGAAAGGAGATAGTCCATGAATATCTTGTGATTTTTTCTTCTTTCTTGATTGTAGAATATTTATTATTTCTGGATATGTAACGTTTGATATTGGGGTTGTTGCATTTTCCCATATGACCGGAGGAGCATCAGCGTATGGATGTGGACGTATCACTACTGGTACTTCCATTAGTTTTTCGTAGTAATCAGCTACTGTGTCTACCATATTCTGAGGGTCTCTTATGATTTCTCCCTTCGGTGTTTCGAAGCCTCTAAGTGATGACGATATATGCCGAAAATGTCGTTTAGTTTTGTTCCAAAAGAGTGCTGAATCTTCACCTGATGTGTGCCTTTCTCTCACCTGTTTAGTTAGCTGTTCTTGTTGGAGACGCCTTAGTTCAAAACGTGTCGAGTTACACAATCGACGAGCTTCATTACGAAGTTGAATATCACCTTTTCGCTTTGCTTTAAACGATAACGAACGACTTAACGCTAATAACTTCAGGAGTTCATACGGTATGGAAGGACGAGCATGATTAAGAGCGAAGTACTGTTGACATCTATTATTAAGCGACGTGAGAAACGTAATAAACTCTTCGTACGTTGTTTCAGATGCTTGAGTGTTCCATTCTTTCTGTTCCCAAAATCCATATGTATAAGATAAAAATAGCGAGAAGACCGACCATACTGTACGGGACCCCTTACGTTTCTTAGCATCGTTGTCTGTAAAAATACCAATCAATGGTTTATGATCGCTGTTGGTAGTCCCTTCATACGTTTGAATTGTTAAATCTACGCCCAGTTGTTAAGGCGTAGTCTATGGTACGATTTGAACGAAGTGATGTATTAGAGTCCGGAACTACTGGTCTAAGATGACATGAGTCTATCCATTCGAGTAGTTGGTCAGCTTTTTCACCATCTTTTTCAATATCGACATTGAAGTCCCCATGATAATGCATCGATTGTTCGTTAAGTTTGTAAGTTCAGACCATCTCCAAGTTTTACTTTCTGGTGCATATATTGCCACTAGCCTTGTTGGTTCACTCAGTAACAGATCAATTGCACAGACATTTAGTAGTGAGCAGGAGACTCTTGTAGCAGGAATATCTTTTCGAATTAGTACGAGCACTCCACCATGTGCATTTTCACCAGCTTGATAAAATGCGACGTGATTAGATAATGCCATGCCTAAAAGAGAGAAATCCATGTGCCCGACTTCACCGAGCACTATGATATCCGAGTGGTGTTGTTGGATTAATAAACACACCTCTCCCCATCTTAATTCGAGATCACGAACATTGAAGCACAGAATATGCATATAAGCAGAAGGATGTTCATATCGTAAATCTTGACGTATTATACTCCATTTCTCGATAAGCTTATTGAGTGAGGAAACCGAATGCCATTCTCTAAGAATTTCCGTGAGTAAGATGAAGTCTTTCTGACTAAGCGAGTTCTGAGCNCCAGTACTTGTAGCAATAATCGTCGAGAGCTTTCTCTTTGTAAATTGATGCGAACAGAAGATCCTCACAGTAGTGACACCAGTATGTTCTTTTTAGAAGGGTGAAATATAGATGGTTAAGATATGCTCTTTGAGAGTCCGTGAGTAACGGGAAAATTCCAAATAGCCATGTGAAGTGTGGTAGAACAAAGGTCATAAAAAGTACACGACGTAGGTGCATAGGGAGATATAGCACTAAATCTGAATGAGTTTACCAGCGCTGTTTTCTGACGAACGGTTATTCGGATCTTTCCTAGCATATTTCCCCACCCAAGCTTCGTTGTAAGCCAATATCCAAGATACTTGAACGACGAGATCCATTCTATCATGTGATCACCACAGTAGACTTGTGGAAACGGGTTCGGATATCTTACCACCCGTGCTGAGAACATTGCTTGAGTTTTCATGTAATTGATTGGTTGTACAGATAAGATAGAATAAAATTCGAGCTGCTCTAAGAACAATTGTAGCCGACGCTCCAGATCGATACATTGATCAGTAAATCGTACTCCTATTTGACCAGCTAGTACTGCTGCAAGATCATCTGCAAAAAAAGAAAGACATGGCTCCAGGAATAAAATCCGCCATATCACTATGGTAAGTGATAAATAGTGACAGTGTCAAACTTGAACCTTGTGGACCACCACGTTTGATTTCTATCCAACGCGATCTTTTACCCTGCATCTCAATGCTTGCTTTACGACCACAGAGCCATGTTTGAATCCATTTGACATACGCTTGTGGTACACCCAGTCGTAAGAGCTTTCCTATGCATCCTTCAAACCATAATTGATCAAATGCGGATTTAAAATCTACAAAGACTGTTGCGACTGGAGAGCTATTTGCCATATAAGATGATATTTGTTCTATAAGTAGTAATACCCGAGTTTGTAGCCTATATCCAGCACGAAAGCCTGACTGATTATCCGGAAGGATACCTCTGTCTTTTAGAATTTGTAGAAATCGAGTGAGAAAAAGTCTTTCCTGTATCTTTAGGAATGAATCGAGTAGTGAAATTGGTCTGGTTTGGTCTGGAGTACACACAGCATTTTTCTTCGCCAATAGTACCATACGTACTTCCTTAAATTTCTTCGCCATAAGACATGTTGCAAATGAATAATTATAAAGTTGTACAAATAGATGCCAATAGTTTCTAGGAATTTTGTCTAATATGAAAGGAGATAGTCCGTGAATATCTTGTGATTTTTTCTTCTTTCTTGATTGTAGAATATTTATTATTTCTGGATATGTAACGTTTGGTATTGGTGTTGTTGCATTTTCCCATGTGACCGGAGGAGCATCAACGTATGGATGTGGACGTATCACTACTGGTGCTTCCAATAGTTTTTCGTAGTAATCAGCTGCTGTGTCTACCATATTCTGAGGGTCTCTTATGATTTCTCCCTTCGGTGTTTCGAAGCCTCTGAGTGATGACGATATATGTCGAAAATGTCGTTTAGTTTTGTTCCAAAAGAGTGCTGAATCTTCACCTGATGTGTGCCTTTCTCTCAGCTGTTTAGTTAGTTGTTCTTGTTGGAGACGCCTTAGTTCAAAACGTGTCGCGTTACGTAATCGACGAGCTTCATTACGAAGTTGAATATCACCTTTTCGCTTTGCTTTAAACGATAACGAATGACTTAACGCTAATAACTTCAGGAGTTCATACGGTATGGAAGGACGAGCTTGATTAAGAGCGAAGTACTGTTGACATCTATTATTAAGCGACGTGAGAAACGTAATAAACTCTTCGTACGTTGTTTCAGATGCTTGAGTATTCCATTCTTTCTGTTCCCAAAATTCATATGTATAAGATAAAAATAGCGAGAAGACCGACCATACTGTACGGGACCCCTTACGTTTCTTAGCATCGTTGCCTGTAAAGGTACCAATCAATGGTTTATGATCGCTGTTGGTAGTTCCTTCATACGTTTGAATTGTTAAATCTACGCCAGTTGTTAAGGCGTAGTCTATGGTACGATTTGAACGAAGTGATGTATTAGAGTCCAGAACTACTGGTCTAAGATGACATGAGTCTATCCATTCGAGTAGTTGGTCAGCCTTTTCACCATCTTTTTCAATATCGACATTGAAGTCCCCCATGATAATGCATCGATTGTTCGTTAAGTTTGTAAGTTCAGACCATCTCCAAGTTTTACTTTCTGGTGCATATATTGCCACTAGTCTTGTTGGCTCGCTCAGTAACAGATCAATTACACAGATATTTGGTAGAGAGCAGGAGACTCTTGTAACAGGAATATCTTTTCGAATTAGTACGAGCACACCACCATGTGCATTTTCACCAGCTTGATAAAATGCGACGTGATTAGATAATGCCATGCCTAAAAGAGAGAAATCTATGTGCCCGACTTCACCGAGCACTATGATATCCGAGTGGTGTTGTTGGATTAATAAACACACCTCTCCCCATCTTAACTCGAGACCACGAACATTGAAGCACAGAATATGCATATAAGCAGAAGGATGTTCATATTGTAAATCTTGACGTATTATACTCCATTTCTCGATAAGCTTATTGAGTGAGGAAACCGAATGCCATTCTCTAAGAATTTCCGTGAGTAAGATGAAGTCTTTCTGACTAAGCGAGTTCTGAGC